ACAATGCAGCAAAGCTGCCGTTGCTAGGAGAACTGTAGGCCGAAGAGGCTGTTTGGAGGCAAGGCCAACGGAAAACTCTTGTCTTCCCCTTTACCTTCCATTCTCTTCCCTTGGCTTTTTTCTCTCTCCTCTTTTGAGCAAAGACGTCATAGTCAATAACCCCTTCTAAAAGGTCAATCTTAGTCTCCGACAGAGTTTAGGTCACCCTGAACCCAAAGGGTTATTTCTGAAGAACACTCCCACCAGCCAAACTACTCTCAGTGGTGCTGGGTGCTAATTATGGCCCTGCCGCTAGATAGTCATTTGACCTTAGGCGAGTAAGTTATTTTTCTCTGGGCCTCAGCTTCCCCATCTGTGAAGGAGAAGGCAAGAGGGAATGCTTGTGTGTTCTTCTGTGTAGTTCCAGCCCTAATACTTCAGAAGGCGGCTGCCAGGGATTTAGAGAACAAAGAGCATCGACCGGTAAAATCTCCATGACTCTCCTTTTATTTCACCAAAGCTCCGGAGCCCCTTCACCTTGGAGCCACACTATTTCCCCATAGGTCTTTGGCTTGCTCTCCTCTGGCTATTTAATTAGTGGTAAAGGTGGAATTTCTATCCGCCCATCTCAGTAGATGTGATGTGCCCTGAGTATCTGCCTTGCCAGGTAATCTTACTTTTAGCATTGTTCCTTTGTTGTAGAAAAGGCCAGCGACAGTATCTAAAAGTCTGATTATTTATTTTTCAAGTCCAGTATCTCTGTGGGACTCGGAGGGTCCCCAGCCTCGGGGATGATTAAGTGACGATTTAAGCAACAAGTGCGCCCCCTGGTGACATATAAAAATTGCAAAAAGACTCACCCATTCAAGAAACACTATTCATTGAATTTAAATCCTGCTGCCTAACCCTCAAGAAAGGATAAAAGAAATGTGCATAAATGTCGTGTAAAGGAATACACATGTATCTCCACTCCCAGAGCCAACTTTTTCTCATTTGGCGTGCCTACCTCTTGCCCCTCGGTTCTTTTTAAGTTTTTTTTTAATTGATTCTAGAGAAAGGGGAAAGGAGAGAGAAAGAGAGGGAGGGAAACACTGATCTGTTGCCTCTTGCATGTGCCCTGACTGGGGAGCAAACCCGCAACCTTTTGGTTTGCAGGATGATACCCAACCGACTGAGCCACACCAGCCAGGACTTGCCCCTCAGCTCTTGATATAGCAATTGGGGTACAGTAGCAACTTTCAACCTTTTTCATCTCATGGCACACATAAACTAAGTACTAAAATTATCCTTTTTCCTAAGGTGTCAATTATCTGCAAATTAATAGATTCAAAACAGTCACAGTCAAATTTTCATCAGGGTTTTTATAGCTATTTGAGATGTTTTTTCCCTAAAATTTGTATAGAAATGTAAAAAAACCTAGGTAGCTAAAATAAACCTGAGGCAGAAAAATAAAATGAGAGGACTTATACTACCTGCTAGATTATCACAAACCTACGGTCATCACAGCCGTGGGTGCTGGTTTAAAGAACACACTAGTGATCGGCACACTTACTTTGTAAAGGCCTAGATGGTGAATATTTTCATTTCTGTAACTGCTACTCAGCTCTGCTCTTGTAGCATGAAAGTAGCCACAAACAATAAGTAAACAAACAGGCATGGTTCTTTTTCAGAAAACTTTATTTATAAAAACAGGCAGTGACTGGATTTGGCCCATAGGCTGACTCCTGGAATAGACTGAGAATAGATCAGAAAGTCCAGAAGTACATCCATGTTTATAAGGGTGGTTTTTGACATGGGAGCTAAATGATTCAATGGGGGAGGGTGAGGCAGAGAGGTGTCTTTTCAACAAGTGTGCTGGACAACTGGGTAACTATGGGGAAAAAAAATAAGCCTTCTCCCCTACCTCAAACTCTGCACAAAAATGAGTTTGAAGTGGTTCAGACATCTAAAAGTAATTTTGCTTCTTTCTAGAAGGCAAAAATTATAATAGTGTTAGAAGAAAACACTGGAGAATACCTTCGTTTCCTTGGGAGTAGGCAAAGCTTTCCTAGAGTGCATAAAGCAGTAACCATAAAAGAAGAAAAAAGAATAAATTTGGTTTCATAAAAAACAAAAACTTCTGCCCATCAAAAGATACTTTAAAACTGGATAGGCAAGTACCAGACTGGAAAAAAGTATTGGTAATGCATAAATCTGACAAAGGATTTTTTATTTAGAATATATGAGGAGCTCCAACAAATCCATGTAAAGAGATGAATGATCCAATAGAAATGGATAGCAAACTAGAACATGCACTTAAAAAAAAAAATATATATATATATATATATATGAATGGTCCAACACACTGGAAAAGATGTACCCTCTTTAGGGCAAATGTTGGGATGTTTCAGGTATAGGTGAAATAGGTACAACACATTTAGGAGAAGGGTGACTTTGCTTTATTAGCTTTATTTGGAATTAATTATGGTTTAATGAGGTGTTTATGGGTGCCAAGTTGACAAGGCGTAGACTGTGATGTGTTTGAAAGTATCATCTTGTCAATTTTGGCTAGGCTGAACTAGGTTTCCCAGAATTCCTTTCCCTTCTGTGCATGTTTCTGGTCAAGGGGTGTATCAAGAGACAATTGGCAGGGCTCCGGCCAAGGTGGAGGTGTAGGCAGAAACCCTTTGCTTCCTCAAACAACCAAAAGGAAGATAACGACCAATCTAAAATCAATAAACAACCAGAAACGCCAGAAAATCAAACTGCATGGGACTCTGACAACCAAGGAATTAAAGAAAAAAATCAGCCAGAACAACCAGACCAGTAAGGTGGTGGATGGCGTGGGCTGGCTCAGAAAAACCGCAGCAGGGCTGGCTAAAGGCGAAACTGAGACTCAGAGCCGACCGTGGACTACAGTGGCAGTTGCTGCGGTGGGAGAAACTCCTAGTCTCACACGAGAGTCCTTTGAAAAGTACACTAGAGACAAGCAGGCGAGCTGCACTGTTCCCTCTCTGGCCCCTCCCCAACAGTCAGTGCCACAGTGCAGCAAAGAGGTCTGCCCTGCCCAGGTGAATACTTAAGGTCCCCACCTCCTTACAGCCTATCAGGGGCCCCGAACAAAGAAATATGGCCCAAGTGAAAGAAGAGAGCAAAGCCTCAGAAAGAGAACTAAGTGATGAGGAGATAGATAATCTATCTGATGGAGAATTTAAAGCCCTGGTGATCAAAATGCTCACAGAACTGATTGCTTGCTTATTTTTTGAGCTTGCTCAAAAAAATGAAAAAACAAATGAAAGATACCCAAAATGAAATCAAGCAAAATATTCAGGGAACCAACAGTGACAGGAAGGAAACAAAAACTCAAAGCAATGATTTGGAATAAAAGGAAAAATAAACATCCAACTGGAATAGAATGAAGAAACAAGAATTCAAAAAAGTGAAGAGAGACTTACAAACCTCTGGGACAACCTGAAACATTTCAATATCCAAATTATAGGGGTGTCGGAAGGAGAAGAACAACAGCAAGAAATTGAAAACTTATTTGAACAAATAATGAAGGAGAGCTTCCCCAATCTGGTGAAGGAAATAGACCTCCGGGAAGTCCAGGAAGCTCACAGAGTCCCAAAGAAGATGGACCCAAGGAGGAACACACCAAGGCACATCATCATTAAGTTACCCAAGATTAAATATAAAGAGAGATCCTAAAAGGAGCAAGAGGAAAGGAGAGAGTTACCTACAAAGGAGTGCCCATCAGACTGTCAGCGGATTTCTCAAAAGAGACCTTACAGGCAAGAAGGGGCTGGAAAGAAGTATTCCAAGTCATGAAATCCAAAGACCTACAACCAAGATTGCTCTATCCAGCAAAACTTTCATTTAGAAAGGAAGGACAGATAAAGTGCTTCTCAGATAAGGTCAAGTTCAAGAAGTTCATCATCACGAAGCCATCATTATATGAAATGTCGAAATGTTGTATGAAATGTATGAAATGACTTATCTAAGAAAAAGAAGATAAAAATATGAACAGTAAAATGACAACAAACTCACAATTATCAACAAATGAACCTAAAAGAAAAGAAAAACAATGAAAACAAAAACTAAGTAAATAACTAGAACAGGAACAGACTCAGAGAAATGGACATCACATGGAAGGATTTCATTGGGGAGGGGGAAAGGAGGAATGGGGGGAAGGTACAAGGAAAAAGAAGCATAATTATTAGGCATAAAATAGACAGGGAGAGAGAAAAAATGGCACAGGAAACAGAGGACTCAAAGAACTTATATGCAAAACCCATGGACATGAACTAAAGGGGAAGATGCTGGAGGGTTGGGGGGGCAGGGCAGAGGGGGGACAAAGGGGGAGAAATTGGAAAAACTGTAATAGCATAATCAATAAAAAAACACTTAAAAAAAGTGAAGGCATTACCATGAATTTATAGAACTATTCCCCCAACAATGGAACTGGAACCAAAACATACACTGTATAATCCCAGAAGATCTTGTTATTGCTAGAGAAAATAATAAAAATAACTAATCTGAAAAAAAAAGGAGACAGTTTGCACAGGATTTGGTAGTTGGAAGTGAAGCAGCAGCCACATTGTTTTCGTGCACGGAAGACTAGTGCATGGTCACTGGGTGCTCACGCACACTCCTCGCCTGGGCGCGAGGCAGCAGCTGGGTCCGGAGCTGCTCCGCCTTCCCTCGGATCCTCCTTCAGTGTCTCCGACTCTGGACCAGGTGTGTGTTTAGCTTTGTGATGAGGGCTGCCAATTTCTGAAGAACTCTCATAGCATCAACATGAAGGCACTGAAAGATACTGATGGGAATTCTGGTCATTTATCCTGGGTTTTAACTCATGCTCCTGGGTTCTCGTTTGCCCTGCTGACTTCAAGCTCTAGAATCAGTCAAGCAGCAGCCTTACAGCGACAGTATGACCACATACAAGTATATATGTATATATGTATGTCATCTCCTTACACTATATATATGTTTTATACAGTTATATGTATAAACTTCTGTAAGCACTACTTCTCCGACTGAACCCTGCTTGACAGAGAATCCCTGCGTGAAACTGCTTCCTGAAGTCTCCTTGGTGTCCTGGGGAAGGCTCCCTCCACTTGCTCCACCTCAGCCACGTACTCCAGAGCCTCTGGGGAACCAACCCGAGGGGCTGCCGCGGCTGCTGCTGCCCCCTAAAGGAGCCAACAAAAAAGTAAATGATGGGGTTGGCACTGCTGCGGAGACTAGACAGGACAAACCCAGTCAGTGTCAGAAAGTATGAAAACGTTTTGCTGCAAAGTTCCTGAATCCAGTAACACGGAAACCACTTGCAGCCAAAAGGCAGGGCGCAGAGGAAGAAGACCAGCATGGCGAGCAGGATGGCCACGTAGAGCCTGGTCAGCTGCACCTGCTGGGAGCCACACAGCAGCCTGGTCAGCAGAACCAGGCTGGACCCAGAGAGAAGCACACATAAGGAAATCAGCCAGGCGACGATGAGGAAATCAAACACCTGACATCAAGTGTCATAACAAATCTTCATCAGGAAGCCATAGTAGCTCTCTTCCAGGATGCTCAGCAGCAGGGACAAGGCCCAGAGCAGAGCACATGTGACAGCTGACATGTGTCTGGGGCAGCTGTAGCAGTACCAGATGGGCCACAGTATGGCCAGGCTGCGCTCTGTGCTAATGGCGCTGAGAAAGATCAGGCCTGCGATGTAGGCAAAGATCAGCACAGTGATGGATGTGGGAGTATCCCAGGAGTGCTTGATGAATGACCGCAGGGAATACCCAACCTGGCAGCAGAGGAAGAGGAAGTCTGCTCCCTTGAGGTTGAGGATGTAGCGGAGAAGGCGTTCCTCCTCAAGGGACAGCCCAGGAGCCAGAGCACAGCGGCGTTTCCTGCCAGCCCGACCAGGGCAGTGATGAAGATCGGCCTGCCTAGGGTCAGGGTTGCCTTGCCACACATAGAAGGGGCCTGGTCCCTTCTATTTGTTGGTGTGAGTTCCATCCCCCAGGCTGTGACAATCGTATCTTTGCTCAGAAACCCTGCAGTGGCGACCCTCAGGAAAACAAACAAACAAAACAGACAAGATTTGAGCACCTGGCATGATCACCGTTTCTCAGAGTCACCATGCTATGTGGCTGTTATTGTCCCGTGTTGCAGAGGAGGGAAATGGAGCCTTCCAGAGATTAAGATACTTATCAAAGGCCACACAGCCCTGGAGTCATGGAACCTGGGTTCAAAGCCAGCTCTCTCTGACTCTGGAGCCTGGGCTCCCTCCACTGCCACATGGGCCCCCTGCTGATGTGTGGCTGTTCTGTAGTCCCATCATGCGCACCCCTCCCAGCTCCCACTCACTGTCCAGAGGTAATGTCATGCCCCCAGAATTTTCTGAAGACGGAGATCAATAGCTGGGATCGAATCTGAGAGACCAGAAGGGGGCTGTGGGCCCAAGGATTCCTCTATCCTGGGCTGGGATTTCCCTCTCCGCTGCAGGAAGCCAGAAAGACACAGAGATGACCATGGTCCACCTTCATGGCTAGTGGGCCCATTCACCAAAGAGAAAGGCCATGCTTTAGGGAGAGGAAGGGAATGTGACCTCTTGCTAGGACAGGTGTGAGTATGGCCAGGACAGGTGTCCTCAAAGCGGCCCAGTGTGTCAGCTCTATGAAGACAGAGACACTTTTTACCCCTAGTGCCCTAGCCATGTGTGGCACGCAGTGTGCTCTCAAGAAATATTTATTCACTGAAAGAATAAATGAGTGAGGAACATAATGACAATGAAAATTTGAGTTAAATGTTTAAAACAATGAAAATACAATTAAAGGGGTTAAAACACACACATGCAATGGGTAAAGAGAATTTCACACATCGTAATTCTTTTTCTGGAAGGTCCGTGTGTATTCAGGAGAGTGACCTATGTGTGCCCCAAACACCCACGGACCACTGATGTGCATTTGAACTGGGGCCTTTATAAGGCTTTGCTGAGCACCTGGAACCGTTTTGGGGCTCACATGGGGGTGAGATCGGCAGTGGAGCTGAGTACAGGGCCCGAAGTGGGGGTGAGGTCTGAGTGCCCCTGGATTCTTCAGGTTGAGAAATAACTATGGGGGGCTGTGAAGTGGGGTGCTGTGGTGTGTGCAAACCCAGTCCACTCCTCCCAGGAGATATTTTGTGGGGTTTTCTTGGCTGAGTAAAGTGTTCCTGTGAGGGGCGTGTATGAGGGGAAATGGGAAAGCGCGGGGCCCGGAATGTGAGGAGAGGTGCTCATGCAGATGTCCAGGGGACAAAGAGGACCTGCTCACCTGTGAGGGCCTATTAGCAGCTGGTGGGGCGTTTCAGGTATTGCCTCTGTAATCCTCTCAAGGCGCCTTTGAGGGGAGAACTAGTATTACTCCCATTCTACAGAGGGTGGAATTGATTCACAAAAAAAGATGAGTGTTTTGCTCATGGTCTCACAGAATACGGATGTGAACCCAGCAGGGCTCCCTCAGGGTCTACACTTCTGACCAGCGTGTAGACCCACCACGGGTAGTATTGGTGGTAGTACTGATTACTCCTGGACAGGGAAAAGGCAGAGAAGTAATTCCCAAGTCAAATTCAAGATGGCAGTCAAAATTGTATCTTAAAAAAAAATCTAACTTAAGCAAACTCCAGAAATACGGAGAGCAAGAGATGTTAATGAAATAGGGAACAAGAAGTGGGTGGAAGCCAATTAGGAACACACAGCAGAATCCAGGAGCCCTTTCCTGCCTCAGAAAGGCAGCCATTGCTCCAAAACCCAGGGGACTCACAGGGCCAGGAGGCCTCCACGTGGAAGGAAGAGGCATCCTCCTCCTGGGCCCAGGGAGGAACCGAGTACACAATCACCCACCCTTGTGTGCTCTTAGAGGGACAAACTCCCAGAGCCCTGATTGGTCAGAAAAGGATGTGGGAGGAAAACAAGCCTCTGCTCTCCCCACTCAGAGAACTTAACAGGAAGCCCGTTTTCTAGCGTCAGGGTGTCATCCCAGTCACACTGGACACGTCCTAAGGACGGGGCTGGTTCTGTTCGCTGCCACTATTTTAGCGCATGTCCCGTGGGGACCACCGGTTGTAACATCCTTGTTTAAAACAGGGAGAAGACGAGGCCTAAAGTGTCAGAGGGGTTTTCCTGAGGTCCCACTGTGAAGAGGGGGCCCACGGCCAGTCCTGGAGCCCCGCCCCAGCCCTTCCCGCTCTCTTCTGCTACCCTGGTCACGATCTCAGAGGAGCTCCCTCAAAATCTTTACTTGACCTCAGAATGTGAGGGACAAGCAGGGGGTGCAGAGATCAGCCCAGATATTCATTCTCCTCATCCTTCACATAATGATTCTGAGAGTGTTAAGACCAGAGAAAGGACCTTATTTTCCAACTGCCTTGTTACCGATGGTGCCCTGTGACTAGGTGCTGGCCAATGGGTGGTGAGCAGAAGTGTTGTACACAGGCTTCCCCTTCCCGTCTTTCTCTGTTTGGGGCCTGAATGCTGGTGTGTCTGGGAGCCACGGGGCCGCAGCACGAGGGCACCTGTCCAGGGACAGGGAGACGCAAGCTGGAAGGAATGCCGCGTCTGAGTGCCTTGGATCCTCCAGTCCGGGGCGAATGAACTTTCTGGCTTGTTTAAGTCTTTATTACAACAGGTCTCTACTAGAGGAACCAATCCTAGACTCTAACCCAGGGGTGTCAAACTCATTTTCACCGGGGGCCACATCAGCCTCCCGGTTGCCTTCAACGGGCCGAAATAATTTTAGGACAGTATAAATGTTAAGGAGCTGAAATTCCATTTGGCCCTTCGAAGGCAACCACAAGGCTGATGCAGCCCCCAGTGAAAATGAGTTTGACACTCCTGCTCTAACCCATAAAAAGTGTTTTCCTTTTAAAATGACATTCTTTTTTTATTATTTTTTAATTTATTTTTATTTTTTTATTTCTTTATTGATTATGCTGTTACAATTGTTCTATTCCCCCCTTCATTCCCCTCCACCCTACCCCCCATCCCCACCATCACCCCCCCTTTAGTTTATGACCATGTGTCTCAAGTCCTTTAGATTCTATATTTCCCATGCTATTCTTGCCTCCCCCATCTATTTTCTATCTACTGTCTATGCTACTTATTTTCTGTACCTTCTCCCCCCTTCTCCTCCTCCCACTCCCCTGTTGCTAACCCTCCTTGAGATCTTCATTTCTATGTTTCTGCTCCTGATCTAGCTGTCCTCTTAGTTTGCTTTCGTTTTAGGTGTGGTTGTTAATAACTGTGAGTTTGTTGTCCTTTCACTGTTCATGTTTCTTTAACTTCTTTTTCTTCGATAAGTCCCTTTAACATTTCATATAATAACGGCTTGGTGATGATGAACTCCTTGAATTTGATCTTATCTGAGAAGCACTTTATCTGTCCTTCCATTCTAAATGAAAGTTTTGCTGGATAGAGCAATCTTGGTTGTAGGTCTTTGGATTTCATGACTTGGAATACCTCTTTCCAGCCCCTTCTTGCCTGTAAGGTCTCTTTTGAGAAATCAGCTGACAGTCTGATGGGCACTCCTTTGTAGGTGACTGTCCCCTTAGCTCTTGCTGCTTCTAGGATTCTCTCCTTCATTTTAATTTTGGCTAATGTAATGATGATGTGCCTTGGTGTGTTCCTTCTTGGGTCCAACTTCTTTGGTACTCTCTGAGCTTCCTGGATTTCCTGGAAGTCTATTTCCTTTGCCAGATTGGGGAAATTCTCCTTTATTATTTGTTCAAATAAGTTTTCCACTGGTGGCTGTGCCTTTCCCCCTTCTGGTACCCCTATAATTCAGCTGTTGGAGCATTTAAAGATGTCCTGGAGGTTCCTAAGACTCTCCTCATTTCTTCGAATTCTTGCTTCCTGACTCTTTTCTGTTTGGCCATTATTTGCTTTCTTCTGGTCCACTCCATTGATTTGAGTCCCAGTTTACTTTTCATTGCTATTGGTGCCCTGTGCAATTCCATTCATTTCAATTAGTTTCGCCTTCATATATTTGTCTAATTTGTGGCTATAATCAACCAGTTCTGTGAGGATCCTGATGACCAGTGTTTTAAACTGTGCGTCTGAGAGTTTTGCTATTTCTTCATCGCTTAGATCTATGGACTCTGGGGCTTTGAGATCTCGCGACATTTTTGGTCTGTTCTGGCCCTTTAAGTGTGAGAAGCGGTATCTTGGACTCCCAGGTCGCTGGGTTGTGAAGCTGTATGTGGGGGCGTGGTCAGAGCGGGGAAATGGCGGCGCCCTCCACAGGCTGCTTGCCGCGGGGACTGCCGGGCCCCGGTCCAACCGCCCACTCCCTCGCCTGTCCGCTGGCGCACAAATGGGCGACTACAGTCAACACGCAGCACCGCTTCCCCGCTGTCTCCTCCGCGGTCGTTCACTAGGTCCAACCCTGCGCCTAGATTCCGCGCGTCTGGATTCCACGCCTGAGTCCGGCTGACCGAGTCCTCCTGTGCAACCCCTCACCAGCCGCTGGTTTCACCCCTTACTGGTCAGGCTGAAGAATTTTTTGTTAACGGACTTCCGAAAAGTTCAATTTTCCATGTTCTGGCTGTGTTTTCTGTTGCTAATATTTAGTTGTCTCTAAACTTGGTTGTGTGAGAAGGCATGGTACATCCACCTATGCCTCCATCTTGGCGGAAGTCTCTTAAAATGACATTCTAGTGGCAAGGCATTTTCTTTTTTTATGAACGTGGGTGATTGCGTCATAAAAGTGAAACTGGAGAAAGAAGGTGCACACCGAAGGACAAATAAACTCCGGTGGAGATGAGATGAGAAATGATTCGATGGCATCGAGATAGAGAAAAAGCCAGGAAGCAGAGAAGAGTGGAGTCTGCGTTCGCTCCGAGGAACTCCTTTTCAGCCTTCTCCACCCCGTTCTGCATCCCAGGAAGCTGGCTCCTAGGAACCTCATCCGTGGGATCCTGCCCTGGTTTCTGGTTAAACTGAGCTGCCAGGAGACTGGAGGGCAGCGAAGGAGAGATTT